GGAAATTATCCTTGAGCAACTAGCTAGCTTTGGTATTCAGGGAAAACTGTTAACATGGATTCAAATGTATCTGTCAAATCGATCGGCTCAGGTTCTCTTCAGGGGCATTAAGAGCACTCATGCAAAAGTATTTGAACTCGGCACACCTCAGGGAGGCGTACTTAGCCCCATGCTATTTAATATCCTAATGCATAGATTACTGGGCGATATACCACTTGCAGGCAATGACTCCATTATTTGCTATGCCGATGACATCTGCATTAAATCCTCATCTGAGGAGAGAATGCAAGAGATTCTTGATATACTTTCTGCAAGGGCTACTGAGTGTGGCTTAATAATCTCAACTGAAAAAACCAAGGCACTTAACCCAAAGACAATTCCTCTGCCAAGGTTTCATATTGGTGGCGTTGAGCTAGATCTCTGCCATCAATACAGATACCTCGGGGTGATTGTTAATGATTCAGAACTCATCAGAAACCTGAAGAAAAGGTTATGGGAGCGGCTGAAGCCACTTAGGACGCTTGTCGGCAAAGACTATGGTGTTAATGTCAATATTGCGAGACTCTTTTACTTGTCATACATAAGGTCGGTCATAGATTACCATGCATTGCATCTAGTATTGTTCAAGGAATCAGAATTGACTAGTTTAGAAAGTGTACAAAATGAAGCCATGAGGATCATTCTTGGTGCCCCTAGAACAACAAGGATTGTGAATATGAGAACAGAACTTAGTTTGCCTTCTCTTTATGAAAGAATATTATATATAAATACCACATTTACTGTCAAATCAATTAGAGAACCCCTCCACTGTACAGAGTTCCAAAGACAACTAAAACACAGAATAGAAGAGCTAACTTTGAATGACAACACCAATTCATTATCAAATCCATGGGTACAAGTAACATGTAAACACTTAGCTCAGCTAAACATACCCATAACTAAGACCCTACATGGACGTTCTGTACCACCGTGGAAAATGTCTGACCTAAGTGTATACTATACGACTGCCCCCCAAAAAAGACAGTGTCCCCCCTGCTATACTTAAGCAGTATGCACTTGCAATAATAAATGAGCATTTAGAAACTCTGCCCAATGCATATGAATGCTACACCGACGGATCCTTGCAATCTGGGATCAGAGCAGGATGCGCTTTTGTTGTATATAAAAACAGCATTTTGCAGCACCAGGATTGTAGGAGGGTTCATGACTGGGCTAGCACTTCACAAACTGAGTTGGCAGGAATACTCATGGCCACCGAATTTCTATTGAATCAAGGCTCAGGGGTCATTTTCTGTGATTCACAGAGTGCTCTCCAGGCTCTGAACACTCTAGACAAAGGTGCGGGAAATATTGCAAATGACATCAGGATAAACGTGTATCGTGCAAAAGAACGAGGCCATAATATACGTTTTGTGTGGATCCCATCGCATGTTGGAATCCCCAGGCATGATCATGCTGATCGCCTAGCAAAGTCAGCATGTGACAAACAAAGTGTGGATATAGATCTTGGGTTACCTCTTTCTAGGATTTTATACATCATCAAAGCTTCCTTCAAAGAGGACTTGACTGAACTAATTAATTCTCAACGCCCCGAAAGCTGTAGCATAAAGCACTATGACCGGTTTAGACAAGATTCATTCATCTATGGTTTATATAAAACAAGAACAAGACAGTGTGATGTTGTGACTGCAAGAATCAGGCTTGGATATAGAATGTATTGGCAGGTCAGTACAGCTTGTAATGTCGAAGAAACTAAGTGTAAACTGTGTAATGAAGAATATAAGCGAACACTTGTACACTATATCTCAGAGTGCCATGTGCTACAGCCTTTCAGGCCACCTAGCATGAGGTACAGAGAACTATGTAACTATTTCATATCATCTGATGTCTTAGAAGATATAATTATGTTGTATCCCAAATTTGGAATGTAGTATCACATGACTGCTTATCAAATGTTTTAATACTTTTCCACGCCCAAGCTATATGTCGGTGTGGTAGATGAGTAACTAAAGGACTGTGCAACTGTTTCCCATCCTTGATTTGACAAAGTACTTATTATCATAACAATGTTATAGGATAATATCCAAGTGTAATACCATTATGTAATGTTATGACCATGCATCAAATGTACTACAGCTTGCCCACGCCTGTGCAGTTAGCCAGGGTGGTAAATAAAGGACTAAACTAAAAAAAAAACCATTTTATTGTTATTGTTACCTCCGCCAAGGAGATTATGTTTTTGACGGCGTTAGTTTGTTGGTTTGTTGGTTTGTTAGCAGCATAGCTCAAAAGGTGCTGGCCGGATTTCATCGAAATTTTGGGGACAAGTCAGAAAGGGACTAACTTAGAACTGATTAAATTTTGGTGACTCTGAATTACCGTCTGGACGCAGCAGCGGTGTAAGTACATTATATACGCACCTTGGCGGAGGTCTGCACTCTCTGAGTGCTTTACTAGTTATTATTATCATTATCATTATCATTATTGTTATTATTATCATCATTATCATCATAAATATTAATATTATTATTTTAATTGTTATCATTATCATTATTTTTATTATTATTATCATCATCATTATCATCATCATCATGAATATTATTAGTATTATTATTTCAGTTGTTATCAGTATCATTATTGTTATTGCTATTGTTATCATTATTGATATTGTTATTACTGTCATTATTGTTATTGTTATTATTATAATTTTATTGTGATTATTGTTATTGTTATTATTATTATTGTTATTATTATTATTATTATTATCATCATTATTATTATTATTATTATTATTATCATTATTATTATTATTTTTATCATTATTATTATTATCATCATTATTATTATTATCATTATTATTATTATTATTATCATTATTATTATTATTATCATTATTGTACTACTTCCTCTACCACTACTATTACTATCATTATCATTATCATGATTTTCATCACTGTTACTATTATTGTTATTATTATCATCATTATTATCATTATCATTATCAT